GGAAGTGTCACCTCCTTGGACCTATTCGTCATGCATCTGCTGATGCACGATAAAGTGCCATTGGCTTTTTTGATGGCTTCGTCACACTGCCGACTCATGTTCATCTTGGAGTCCACTAGGACTCCAAGATCCCTTTCCACTTCCGTGCCACCCAGCAGGTCATTCCCTAGGCTGTAGGTGTGCTGGACATTTTTCCTCCCTAGGTGCAGCACTTTGCATTTCTCCTTGTTGAACTGCATTCTGTTGTTTTCTGCCCACTTGTCCAACCTGTCCAGGTCTGCTTGCAGCTATTCCCTGCCCTCTGGCGTGTCCACTTCTCCACATAGCTTTGTGTCATTCGCAAACTTGGACAGAGTACATTTCACTCCCTCGTCCAAGTCACTGATGAAGACATTAAAGAGTATCGGTCCAAGGACCGAGCCCTGCGGGACCCCACTGCCCACACCCTTCCAGGTTGAAACCGACCCATCCACCACGACTCTCTGGGTGCGATCCTCCAGCCAATTTGCCACCCACCGGACTGTGTAGTCATCCAAGTCACAGCCTCTTAACTTGTTCACCAGTATGGGGTGGGATACCGTATCGAAGGCCTTCCTGAAGTCTAAGTATACGACGTCCACCCCTACTCCTGTGTCCAGGCGTTTCGTAACCTGGTCATAAAAAGAGACTAGATTAGTCAGGCACGATCTGCCTGCTACGAACCCGTGCTGGTTTCCCCTCAGCATAATTTGTCCTGCCGGGCTCTCGCAAATGCGAGCCTTGATAATTTTCTCAAAGATTTTGCGAAGGATGGAGGTGAGACTGACTGGTCTATAGTTGCCCGGGTCCTCCTTCCTCCCCTTCTTGAAAATGGGGACCACATTGTCCCTTTTCCAGTCCTCCAGGACTTGGCCCGTGCGCCACGAGCGTTCAAATATTCCCGCCAGTGGCTGTGCAATGATGTCAGCATATTGATATGCATGTAATCAATATGCATGGATCTGTGAGAAAATATTTTGTGACCTACTTGCCCACACTCTCTCTAACAGGTTGCTACCTAACTTGTATTTAAACAGACTGAGACACACATTTACAAGGTAGATAAACAAATTTCAAGGCTAGGGAAGATCTTGAGATTTGGATTATGCAATGCCAGCACTGATGGGAGAAGTGCTGGACTTCAGCCAGTTGAGATATGGTAGCTGTAAGGAAGCAAGCAACAATTAATTGCCTTGGTTTAAGAGTACATGGTGATAAATGTAGAGAGACATCAGTTTCTTGTTTGCATCCTCTAAGGTTGTTCCATTTCTTCAGGATAAGAAAGGAAGCATTTGGGGAAGAAAATATGTTTGGCACTAAGAATATTTATTATCTCAGAGAGAGAGCAGCAACACACAGCATCCAGGTGCAAAATGTTCACTGTAAACGTGCAGTTATTTGTCTCTACCAAATGCATAGTACCAATTACCAGAAAGGTAGGCTGAGAAAGAGTAAAAAATGAGCTGACACTCACAGTATATAAAATGAGTCTTCATGTGGCAGAGGACAGGCAGCATCAGAGAGATTAAAACTATCAATTATATTCCCCAATAATGTATGATGGTTTACTGGGGTTTTCTTTAAATTGGGACAGCCTGTTAAGATTATTTTAAAGGAAGCAGGCAAGGGAGACTTTACATCTATTTTCACAGTTTGCATATATTTTTTTCTTTTTCCCTTCTTTTTTCTTCTTTCCCATTTCTTTCCAGTAATAGTTCTCCTTTTTAATTTCCTCTTCTCTCTGTTTTATTTTCCATTTTTTCACTGTTTACCAGATCTCCTATGTCTTCACTTTCTACCATCTCTCTGTTTTTGCTGTGGCTCTACAGTCTCTCATGCATCCATTTCTCAACCCAGCTCATACTCAGGCCCTGCATTACATTTTTTCCTCCATCTCATTTTCCTCCATTCTCAAGCCCTCTTTCATAACATTCTTTCCCACTTTTCTTAGATATCCTACATCATTTTTCCTATTTCAAGTCTCTCTCCCTAAATCAGGGGTGTCAAATCACTGAAGGCCATGGGCCAGATCCAAACAATGGGAGTCCTTGCAGGCCAGATCCTGCCCAGGGCATGTGGCCACCACAGCAGCGGCACATCTGATGGCAGCCAGGGTTCTGGTGGTGGTGGCAGCAACGGGCTTGTGGGGAGTGGGAGGCAGCAGCAGCAAGCCAAGCTCTCAGCCAGCAGCCATGGCCAGTGGGGCCAAAGAGCCATGAATTCTGCGGCAGGCCCTGCCCCTTAGCTTCTTGTGCCTTGCTGTTAGCCTGGCAGGCTGAATAAAAAGGTTCTGCAGGCCAGATCCAGCCAACCCATTATAACTGAAGCTCTAGGAGTTGTTGAGCTCAGCCAGAGATAAGATGCAGGTGAAGGAAAGTAAAAATCCAAGGACAGAATCCTGTGGGACACCAAAAAGCAAGTGGGGGAAAGCAGGCATAGTCAATAAGGGCAACAATGTAGACAAGGGGAAGGAAACCAGATTACAAGAGTTAATGAACAAAACATATGAGGTGACAAGGGATGTCAAACAATGTTGATACAAAGAGAAGATAGGAGGTAGATAGAGAAGGTTTCTGATGACTAAAAGAGGATGACAAGTTTGAGGGAAAGAAAAGAACCACATGAGAAAGAAAAATAAAGGATGAGTTCCAGGGGACAAGATGGTGGATTCTGCAAATTTCCTGGCATTCACAAGATGCCACAGTCATGCTCATGTATAGGTGCTCATAAGCTCATGGCAGCACTTATATGCACTGTTGAGTAGCTTTTGTCTCATCAGTCTTTGGGCTGTAGAAAATCAGAACAGTATAGACCAGAATGAATCAAAAATTCCATGGTGCCTGTCCTTTCTCAATTTCATCACTTTCATCCTATAGAGACCAGAAAAAACATCTGAACTCCCCAAACCTTCCAGGGTGTCCAGAATCTCACTGATAGTTTTACTAGCTTTTTCTTGCATAATCATTTTGAGTTACCAAGGTCTTGAAATATTAGGAAGTGCTGGGATGATGATGAAGACATATTCTAATCCCTTCACCTAGAGATAATTAATGCTGAAGAAGTTAGGGCATGACACAAAACATACTAATTATTAATAGTTATTACCAATGAATGTTTACAGTTCCTGTCACAGTAACAACAAGGTGTTTTACATTTTAAAAATATATACAAGAAATAATACACAGAACCCCTCACCCAATTCTTGCAATAAATCTGTGACTGCAATACAGTCCTGCCACTTTAAAATTCTTCTTGTCCTCTAGCCAGTTTTAAATTGAATAACACTGACTTCCTGTAAAAAGACACTCCCTACCTGCAAGGAAAAAATGCCTTCAGAGTGCCAAGACAGTTGTTATCACCAACATGCTTTAGATGCCTTTGTGCATCTCAAGTGTTAAGCATAGAAAACAAAGCCAACAGCCAACCGAGCCAAACCTAGCAACATGCATACATGCTTGTTTGCAGACGGAATGGAAAACCTAGAGCATTCTCAAGTATAGAATTAATTAGCAAACTTACCCCCCCCACACACACACACCCTCCCTCCCAGCTAAATACAACCAATTTACCCAACTCCCCAAATCAGAAATGAAGGCTTATGCTGATCACTGGACGGGCATGGTCACATGATGGCAACTGCAGGAATTAGCCATGAAAAACTGATAGTTACCCAGAGCAATTCTCTGGGATC